TATTAATATTATTTTTTTGACATCTAACATGTACATCTAATCTCTTTTTATCACATTTGATTCATTTGTCTTTAAATTGTAGCATATAATGTATGACATTTTGTTTTAATATGTAAATTGTTATACGCATAAATGCATATATACATATATAAATTCAAAATAAAAATATAATATATAAAAATATATAGAAATATAATATATAATAAATATTACATTTTATATATTCATATAAAGAATTTAATTATGAACCTATATTACAGTTTATATTAAAATCTTATATACAATTTTATTTCAGAGTTAGTTATTGTTTATGTTAAGTAAGTTATTGTTTACTTTTTCTACTACTAATCATGTTTTATATTTCTATAAATTAATTTATTTTGTTATATCTAGTTTTATATTATTGTACAAAAATAGATATATTAATATCAATATATTTTTAATGCTATTTATTATTCACTATTATATTATAATTAATAAATAAATAACTTTTGTATTTGTCTTTTTTTTGTAAATTGCATTAACAAAATAATGTCAAACAAGGATTGACAATCGTGCTATTTCTCTATCCCGTTGATATGATATACGAAGTATCATCGATATTATATAGTAACGAAGCAACAAGTTACCAAGTCTAACAGGCACCCTTTGTCTTACATCTTGTGTATTTGTTCACTCTGTTACCTATTATTCTACTATTATTATTGATCAACATACAATATTTAATTGCACGTATAATTTTAACTATAATTTAAACATATATATTATGTAATGTATATATACAAATATAAAATTCTCAAAAAATAGGCGCCCGTTAGTCTTGTTGCATTACTGCTCTCTGCCACGAGAGGAAGCATTTTCTTTTCAGGTTGTATCTCGACCGTAAAGCGATACGTTAGAAGAACAAGGACAGCACGCGATTGTCGCTCCTTGTCTAGATTTATCTCTCAACGATCGCATCCGTGTGCTCAACGTATCGGTGTTTGTGCCTTCACGGATACTACACACATACGCGATGAAAGAGAGACAAAGACGGCGCAATCATCTCTCTTTGTCAAGCGATCAGTGTACTATCACTATCGAAAATATCGAAAAGCGGATGTAGCACGGATATGAACCAAATGACCGACAGTATCGAAAAGTGGATGTAGCACGGACATGAACCATATGGAGATTTGACCGACAGTACCGAAAAGTGGATGTGGGTAAGTGTTTCCAATTCCTAAAAGTAGATGCACGGCGCTGCTCTATGGCCTAGAAAAAGCGTCCCACGAATATCGCCGGCATTGCCTCTCTCAGGCTTCTCTCTACTCTCGGCGTCCTTGAGGTATAGTCGGTGGAAGCAGGTTGCCCTATAAAAATAGAGAGCTATCCTTTTCTCACTAACTGAGGTATAGTAAGAAAAGAGCATCGTCGAGACGTAACAATACTCAATTTTGAGACGCGGGACGATTTCCGCTATGCGTAAACGCGTCGACGCGCTCTCTGTAGGCAGGAGGCCTGAGTATACTTTGCGCATGCGCACTACAATTATAAAATAAACTTTTTTGCATATAATAAAAAAAATTATCAATTCACAAACGTAACATTGATATATTTGCAAATCACAAACAATTTCCTATCGATTATAGTTATCAGTTATCACAAAATCTGTTTATTACTAAAAAGTCGGCTGACATCATGACACGGTAGTGTGCACACGAGTGATGTTTTCGAACGCGGCCCTGACGTTTGTGTGTTAAGATGGCGGCGGTGGGCATGGTGGGAGTAGAGTTGGCACCTCTCTGATAATCTAGGACTCTAGTTACTTCTATCGATCCTTAAGCCCGTATTAGACTACGCATTGAAGATTGAGATTGAAGATTGAAGATTGAAATTTGACCAATCAGGACAAAGAAATTTTAGTTCCTTTTGTTCTGATTAGTCAAATTCCAATCTTTAATCTTCAATCTTCAATTTTCAATGCGTAGTCTGATACGGGCTTTAAGGGAGTTAGCGGTCTAGTAATATATATAAGTCTGTGTGTAGTAGAGTGCAGATAAAAAGTGCAGATTAATAGCATTTTTGAATGTAGCAGGTTTATGGCTCTCGCACACTGAACGCGATGAGCGATGAGCGATATCCAATGAGAGCACTGCTTTTTCGGAAAAGCAGAGCTCTCATTGGATATCGCCCATCGCTCATCGCTCATCG